ATAGGCCAGGCGTGGCGGCTCATGTCTGTAATTCTAGCACTTTGGGAGGCCAAGGCACGTGGATTGCTTGAACTCAGGAGTTCAAGACCAGCCTAGGCAACATGGCGAAACCCCATCTCTACAAAATCTGCTGGGCATTTGTCTTTGACTTTCTAGTCCTTAAAAAAAAATCAGCTGGGCATGGTGGCACACACCTGTAGTCACAGCTACTCAGGAGGCTAAAGCGGGAGGATTGCTTGAGCCCAGGAGTTCGAGGCTGCAGTGAGCTGTTGCACCCCTGCACCCCAGCCTGCATGACAGAGTGAGACCCTGTCTCAAAAAAGAAAAAAAAAAAAAAAAGAAAGAAAAAGAAGAAGAAAAATTTGAATCTGAATATTAACTAGTTTTTTTCTTTTTGGATTCTTTCCATAACAAACCTAATTTTCTTTTTATTTTTTTATTTTTTTTATTTTTTTTTTATTTTTATTTTTTGAGACGGAGTCTTGCTCTGTCGCCCAGGCTGGAGTGCAGTGGCCGGATCTCAGCTCACTGCAGGCTCCGCCTCCCGGGTTTACGCCATTCTTATGCCTCAGCCTCCCGAGTAGCTGCGAGTACAGGCGCCGACCACTGCGCCCGGCTAATTTTTTGCATTTTTTAGTAGAGATGGGGTTTCACCGTGTTAGCCAGGATGGTCTCGATCTCCTGACCTCGTGATCCGCCCGTTTCAGCCTCCCAAAGTGCTGGGATTACAGGCTTTAGCCACTGCGCCCGGCCTAACAAACCTAATTTTCTTGCCACTAGAAGGATGACTTGGGTTGACTGGGGAGAAAATATCTTTTTCGGATAGGAAGAAAAAAGCCACACGAATGTTAAAAATAACAAAAGCAGCAACAGAGTACTACTCCTTTCTGTCATTCTTGTGGATGTTTTTCGAACACTTCCAGGGTTTGAATTTTATTTGTACTCACAACTGCCATGTGAGTTAAATGTTATTACAATTATTATTATTATTATTATTTTGAGACGGAGTCTTGCTCTGTCGCCCAGGCTAGAGTGCAGTGGCGAGATCTCAGCTCACTGCAAGCTCCGCCTCCCGGGTTCAAGCAATTCTCCTGCCTCAGCCTCCTGAATAGCTAGGATTACAGGTGCCCACCACACCCAGCTAGTTTTTGTATTTTTAGTAGAGACAGGGTTTCACCATGTTGGTCAGGTTGGTCTCGAACTCCTGACCTTGTGATCTGCCCACCTCGGCCTCCCAAAGTGCTGGGATTACAGGCCTGAGCCACCGCGCCCGGCCATGATGATGATTTTACAAAAAGGGAAACTGAGGCACTGAGCCATGAAGTCACTTTCGGAAGAGCCCATAGTTATGAAATAGCAGTGGTGGCACCGAGGGCAGGGGTTCAGTCCCAGGGCTTGCAATCTGGCCCTTTATAGGAGCATCCTTTGTACCTAGAGATTGGAGATAAATTTTATCAAAAGATCCCAAGAGTCTCCAAATCTACCCTGGTTCTAAACGTGAGGCGCAAGTACCTGGAGCATGGCGGCTGAGGGATGCCCCTGGAGCGTGTCTGCCTCCCGTCACCACCTGCCCCACAGAGTGCCACGTGCGAGTCCGGCTGGGAGGGCCCTGTGTCCTGCTGCCCCATGGTGCATGCTGCTCAGCACCCCAGCCTCCTGTCCCCAGGCTGCCTCCCAGCCTCCAGCCGGCTGCTGTCCATCCGGCTGCCACTCCAGTGCAGCCAGTGGAACAGGGCCATGAGTGTAGGTGGCCTGGCCATCCCCTTCCCCAGGGCTCTGAGAAAGCCTTCCCCTCCAGCAGTGTTTCTATCCAGGGTGCACAGGGCAGCAGTGACCACCACAAGCCTGTGGGGCGAGGACAGTTTGGAGTTGGGTGCTCGTGAGTTCCTGCCCTTGCCTTGAGAACCTGGGCTTGTTACACCCCCAGGACTCTGGTTCTTCACCTGTAAAATCAGAAGAGCACTTCTGGGCACTTCTGGGCTGGCAGAGGTGGAGCACAGCCACTACAGCTCCTTTCTCCCTTTGGACAGAATATAAAAAGCGACTCTTGGAGGACTGTGGAATGTTAACAGTGGCAGCTGGCTGGGGAGGAAACTCAGAACTTACCAACAACTGGCGCGGAGGTTTACTGTTTTGTTTTTTTGTTTCTTTTTTTTTCCCCTAGCTGTATGTGCGGTTTTGAGGATGGGGGTGTCTCACAACTGTGCCGTGGGTGCAGAGACTGACAACCCCAACGCCAACCCGCCTTTCCTTCTGCAAACAGAGTGCACAGAAGAAACCCCCACTTCCCTCTCCTCTCCCTCCTAATCCTGTCCTGGCCTGATCTTTGGTGGCATCTTGGGCCCCTGAGATCCTGCAGGAGATTCCACCTGTATTGACAGAGGAACTGGGCACAGGGCTCTGTGGTCCAGAGCGTGTGTGTGCAGGGTCCCTCTCTTATTTTCCTGTCTTTTCTCTTGCTGTGCTGCCCTGAGCAGGGCCCAAGTCATCTGAAATGGATGACAGCACAAGGAACTAAGACTCTGAGAGAAACCCTGGCTTTCTAAATGGAGGACTCCTAGGAGCCTGAGTGTGTGGGGCCCCCACGGAGCAGAGACCTGGAGGAGGGGCCTCCACGCTAAGCATGAAACATCACAAGCTCGGTGCTCGCCTGAGCTGAGCAGCATGTGTGGGGAACACGCTGCACACCAAAGCCTTGAGAATGGAGCCAGCGCAGATCCACTGCACACAGAGGCTGGGACGCAGCTTGTGGCCCGGACCCAGCCAGGGCAAGTGCCTGCCAAAGTGAAAATACCAACGTTCTCAAGCGCGTTCTCACAGGGCTCAGAGTCTCGCATCTGATTATTCAAAATATCCAAGATACAACCCAAATTACCCGACATGCCAAGGACTGGAAATTGGATCCAGTCTCGGGAAAACACAGTTGCTGGCAGGACCCCAGGACTCAGATGCTGGAGGGACCAGAAAGAGATTTCACAGCAGCAATTCCAGCCCGATGTTCCCCAAGGCAAGAGTGGACACCCCAGGAACGAGTGAAAAGACAGACGTTCTCAGCACGTGGAAATGGCAGAAGTGAAAAACATATTACCTGAAGCAAAAAATCATCTGAAGTAAAAAAGTTGGCCAGGTGCAGTGGCTCATACCTGTAACCCCAGCACTTTGGGAGGCCAAGGTGGGCAGATCGCTTGAGTCTAGGTGTTTGAGACCAGCCTGGGAAACATGGAGAAACCCTGTCTCTACTAAAAATACAAAAATTAGCCAGGCGTGGTGGTGCACACCTGTAGTGTCAGCTACTCGGGAGGCTGAGGCATGAGAATCACTTGAACCCAGGAGGTGGACTCTGCAGTGAGCTGAGATCACGCCCCACTGCACTCCAGCCTGGGCAACGGAGTGAGACTCCGTCTCAAATAAAAGAAAAAAGAAAAAAAACACTCACTGAGTGTCTCAACAGCAAAAGGGGGATTACAGAGGAAGAAGTCAGTAAACTTGCAAAGAGATCAATAGAAATTATCTAATCTGGAAAACAGGAAAAACAAGTTTTTTAAAAAATGAACAACGCTTCAGAGAGCTGTGGAACAATATCAAAACATCTTTTTGTATTTGAAGCTCCAGAAGGAGAACGGAAAGATATTAGTACATAAAACATTTATTTTGAAGAAATAATGGCAGAAAAGTTCTCCAATTTAGTGAAAGATATAAACTTATGAAAGTCAAAAAGTTTGGTCAACTCCAGATAGGATAAACTCAAATCAAATATTTTATGATTTATATGTGTAAAATTCCTCACCAGCAGACTATATTTACTTTTTTTGAGATGGAGATTCACTCTGTTGCTCAGGCTGCAGTGCAGTGGTGCGATCTTGGCTCACTGCAACCTCCGCCTCTTGGGTTTGAGTGATCTCCCACCTCAGCCTTCCAAGTGATTACAGGTAACAGCACGCCCAGCTAATTTTTGTATTTTTAGTAGAGACGGTTTTACCATGTTGGCTATGCTGGTCTTGAACTCCTGACCTCAAGTGATCTGCCCGCCTTGGCCTCCCAAAGTGCTTCACTGGCCAACTTTAAAAGAAAATGCTAAAGAAAGGTATTTAGCCTGAAGGGAATGATACCAGAGGGAACCTGGAATTTCAGGAATGCAGAAAGAGCAATGGAAATGGTATATATTTAGACGAGCATAATATGTTGTTTTCACTTTTTAAGTCATTAAAAATATCTATTACTGTCGAGGCCAGGTGTGGACTATAATCCCAGCACTTTGGGAGGCCAAGGTGGGCAGATTGCCTGAGCTCAGGAGTTTAAGACCAGCCTGGGAAACATGATGAAATACCGTTAAGTAGAGATCAAAACACAAAAAATTAGCCGGGCATGGTGGTGCGCACCTGTAGTCCCAGCTGCTTGGCAAGCTGAGGCACAAAAGTCACTTGAACCTGGGAGGGAGGCGGAGGTTGCAGTGAGCCAAGATTGCACCACTGCACTCCAGCTTGGGCGGCAGAGCAAGACACTGTCTCCAAAAAGAAAAACAAAAAAATCTGTACTGTTGAAAGTAAAATTGCCCCGTTACCTGGTGGGATTCTCAGTGCGTGTAGATGTGACAACATGACGGAGATAGAATGGGGGAGGAAATGGAGAAAGAGACCACACCTCCGTGAAGTGGCAGAGCAGAGATGCGAAGAAGAGTGTCAAAACTCATAAGCATACTGTAATCTCCAGGGTGACCAACAAAAAATTAGAAAAGAATAGCCCAAAGCCAATAAATTTATTTATTTATTTATTTATTTATTTATTTATTTATTTATTTATTTATTTTTGAGACGGAGTCTTGCTCTGTCGCCCGGGCTGGAGTGCAGTGGCCGGATCTCAGCTCACTGCAAGCTCCGCCTCCTGGGTTTACGCCATTCTCCTGCCTCAGCCTCCCGAGTAGCTGGGACTACAGGCGCCCGCCACTTCGCCCGGCTAGTTTTTTGTGTTTTTAGTAGAGACGGGGTTTCACCGTGTTAGCCAGGATGGTCTCGATCTCCTGACCTCGTGATCCACCCATCTCGGCCTCCCAAAGTGCTGGGATTACAGGCTTGAGCCACCGCGCCCGGCCAAAGCCAATAAATTTAAATGGAATACTAAAAAGTATTCCAATATCCAAAAGAAGGCACCTAAGGGAGGGGAAATGAACAAAAAACAGAGGAGGGAAAGAAAACAAAGAATGAGTCCAAACACATAATTACATAAAATGTAATGGTGTAAATATGCCAATTTAAACATAGAGATTGTGAAATTGGATAAAGATAACCTCACCCATTAATATGCTGCCTAAAGAGGCTCACTTCAAATATAATGACAGAGAAGGTGAAAGTAAAAGGACAGAAAAACATGGGTCCCATCACCACTAATCAGGCATGCTAATTCCTGCTTCAGCATTGCTGTAAAGTTCACAGTGAGAACTTCTACAACACAGGCATCCGGCACACACACAGGACTTGCTCAAGAACAATAGAAAGAATGTGGTTGAAAGCACCCTGCCGATGCCTTGTTTTTCAAGGTTCTCCCTGTCCCCCTTTTCAAGGTTAGTGCCCTGACTGCATCGCCCATCCTAGCCTGCATCGTCAGTTGTACGGGGTCTTACTCAGACAGCTGTAAAACCTGGATGAGAGCGATTAAGTGGATCATAGAGTGACTACTTTGCCATCTGTGAATGGTAGCACATGTGAACCTCACTACCGTTTCTGTCTTTTGTGTGTGTGTGTGTGGAAAACGGGGTCTCGCTATATTACCCAGGCAGGTCTCGAACTCCTGGGCTCAAGCTATCCTCCCGCCTCTGCCTCCCTGAGAGCTGGGATTACAGGCGTGAGCCACCGTGCCTGGCTACCGTTTCTATTTCCTTGTGGCCACCTGTCCCCTCAAGCCCACCTCCAGATGGGCCAGATGCTCCTGCAAAGGCCACACAGACCCTGGCAGGGATTTTCTCTAGAGCTTGGGAGGCACATTTTGATGAGTTACCCACGTGTCATTTCTACCCTGAGGCCACTGGCTCTTCATCCCAAATGTCCAAGCCCTGTCTGCTCTATCTGCCCTCGCTCCAGCCAGTCCAGCACAGGGAGTGTCCTCCACGCCCAGCCCGCAGGCCCCCAGGAGGCCAGCCACACACAGCCACCAGGCAGAACCCATGGATTCTTGCTGTGTTTTGCTACCATTGGAGAGCAAGCGGCCCAGACACCACAGGCAACCCATGTGTGGAGTGAATGAGGGGGGACTAGCAAGCCCTTGTTCTTTGTCACCTGCTAGAATGGCCGCACTTCTACGAACAACGAAACTTCTTGGTTCTCCCAGGAATCTTTGAGCAAGACTTAACTGCAACCTATGGGCATACGATTCTGAGATATGGCTCCAGGAACCCTGGATTTTGGACGGCTTACTTCCCTTGTTTAATCTACTATCTCTATATTAAGGGTATGAAAATTGGTGACTGAACCTTCAAAAACCTGAAATCAAACACGAGTTTGATTCGTGTCTTATGTGTTCAGAATTTTTCCTAATAAATTACTACCAAAGGTCTTTCTCCACAACAGACTCGTTCAGTCAGTGCTGGTGAGGTCAGACCTCTAAGGTGGAGCCGCCAGCAGAATAACGTCCAAGCTTTGGGCCGGCACAGCAGCAGGTGGACAGGCCAGGGAGGAGGACTGAAATTGAGCCAGAGCACTAAATGGTAGACATTGTCTGATGGAAAATGAGTTTGACAATGAACATGAAGAACACATCATAAGGGAAATACCTGCATGTAATAAGAATTACATTGCAACAAAAGAGCACCCGATGGCATGATGGAATGAGTCTAAAGAGTGACCTTCTGTAAAATGCCGGCAGGGAATCCAAAATGCACAGAAAAATGTTCTGAAAATCAAAAAGGAGTGAAAAGGAAAACCACATGACACTTAGAGGACTCAGAAAACACACCAAAAAAATTATGATGTCCAGAAACACCTTGATGGACAAAGAAAAAGTTACCATCACATGATAACTTAAAACATTTTCCACAGATAACGAATGGGTAAAACAACAAAATCAAAGAATGAGAAAAAAAAAAAGACACAAAATTATGCCACAGCTTTTCCAGAGTTGCAGAAAATTGCAGAGGAAGCCCAGTCACTGCAGAGAGAGAGAAAGAAACAGGAGCCCTGTCTCAGGATCAAGAGTGGCCCTCTGCAGCAGCTGCATGTACGTGAGGTTCTCGTGCGTGTTGGGGTCGAAGAAGCCCTTGGTGTCGTCGCTGGGGTCTGCCAGGACGCGGTTCATCTCCTCGTCGAAGTAGCCACGCTGGTAGGCCACGTCCACGGGCACGCGGTGGCTGTGCACGGGGTCGATGATGCCGCCCGTGGCGATCTGGGCCTCCAGCAGGCGGATGCCGTGCTCCCGGGCCTCCAGCAGGCGGATGCCGTGCTCCCGGACGCATAGAGGTCCTTCTGCATGGCCTGGAAGAGGGACCAAGGCCCGGTGCAGGGGTCGGTGTAGCCGGTGACGGCGCGCCGGCCGCACAGCAGCTTCTCCTGGATCTCGCGCCCACCACGCCGCGGCCACGGCCTCCTCCACGGACCAGCCTCAGGTTGGCGCACGGGTCGATGACGGCCGGTGACGCTTCAAGGCCTCCAGCAGCCCAGGCCGTGCCGGCCGCAGCACGCCCTTCCACATGGCCTGGTAGATGCCCATCTTCTCCTGGCGGCTGGCTTCGTCCTTGGCGGGCACCAGGACGCCGCGCGATGCAGCTGGTGCCTCCAGGTAGCGCTTGACTGAGTCCATCTCCGTCACTCTCCTGCAGCGATTTAGTGCCCTGGGCCAATCCCGCAGGGTCTCGGGGCCCAGGATCCTGTGACGTGTGCAGCTCGAGGCGGACACCTGGCGCCCCAGGCCTCGGGAAGGACACCTTGCTGAGCCGCCTCGGTCTCCTAGACCCGGGTGAGGACGGCGACGAGGTCGGGCAGGCCCAGGATGCCGGCCGCGTGCTGGGCCAGGAGCTCGGCTCTCGGCGGGCCTCGCCTGTGTACGAGGAGAAGAGGACATCCCACACGGAGACCGCCGCCTCTGAAACTGCTCCGCGCCTGCACCTCCATGGCACCACGCAGGGTCTGCTCTTGGCGGGATGGCGGCAGCGGCTCCTCTCGGTCTCGCCCTGGCCTCGCCTCTGAGCCTCGGGAGCGCCCTGACTCGCTGTCCCTTGCCTGGCTGGCTCCTGGCTCTCCACAAGCGGGACAAGGTCAGGCGTCCTGGAGCTGCGGCCGGTTCCGGGCCTCCTCGCCTCCTCGATGATGGCGTCAGCCGGGCGGGCTGGGTGCGGGCAAGGCCAGAGTCCCTGAGCTAAAACTCGGCCAGCAGCTCCTCCTGGGCGCGCCCTCAACATGTAGGCCGACGCCAGCATCGTCCGATGCACGGGCATCCGCAGCCTCGGAGGCGCCCCACCTTGACTCTGGCGCGGTGGCCGTGACGCAGGGCCTCCCCGGGCTCCGCTGGCTCCCGCCTCGGCCTCGGCCTGGGCCTGGGCCGCAGCGAGGTGAGGGTGGCACTCCAGCTCCTCCACGCTCAGCGTGCCTGCCCGGTATCTGCTCAGCAGGTCCTGGCGCTGGTCCTCGGACACCTCGCGGTAGAAGAGGAGCTCCCAGACGGAGACGCCTGGCTCCTGAGGGCGCCCGAGCCTGGCGTCACACGGCGCCCCGCAGGCACAGCGCAGCTCTCGCCAGCTGGGCACACGGCGGAGCTCGGCCTGCCAGCTGCATGTAGAGCTCCGGGCCGGGCCGCGCACGCAGCGCAAGGCGCAGGCAGCTGCACGACGTGAGGCTCTCGCGTGTTGGGCTCTGAAGCCTCTGGTGCCGCTACTGGGGTCCACTCAGGACTGCTCATCTCCTCGTCAAGTAGCCGCTGCAGGCTACGCCCACGGCACGCGTGGTGGCTGCGCACGGGTCGGCGACTCCGCCCGTGGCGATCTGGGCTTCCAGCAGGCGGATAGCCGTGGCTCCCGGACGGCGAGGTCCTTTTCGTATGGCCTGGAAGAGGGAGATCTGCTGCCCGTGAAGTCATAGCCGTGACGCTGCCGCCGATACAGCAGCTTTCCTGGATCTCGCCACGACTACACCACAACACGGCCTCCTCCACGGACAGCCTCAGGTTATGACGGGGTCGGCGACGGCGCCGTACGCTTCGCGCCTCCAGTACTCAGGCTGCAGGCTGGCCGCAGCACGCCCTTCCACATGGCCTGGCAGCCTATCTTCTCTGGCGGCTGGCTCGCCTCTGGCGGGCACCAGGACGCCCGCGATGCAGCTGGTGCCTCCAGGTAGCGCTTTGACCGAGTCCATCTCCGTCACCTCCTGCAGCGCGACCACTTCCCTAGTGCTCCTGGGCCAGGTCCCGCAGGGTCGCGGAGCCCAGATCCCAGATGTGCAGCTCGGAGGCGACACCTGGCGCCAGGCTCAAGGACACTGCTTGAGCCGCCTCCTCGGTCTCCTCGAAGCCGACCCGGTGAGGACGGCGACGAGACGGGCAGGCCGACGCGGCTGCGTGCTGGCCAGGAGCTCGCCTCCCGGCGGGCTCTCGCCAGGTAATGAGGAGAAGAGGACATCCCACACGGAGACCGGCCGCCCTGAACTGCCTGGGCTGGGTAATTTCTCCATGGGTGGTAAATTACCAGGGTCTGCTCTGGCGGGGCGGCGGCAGGCAGCGGCCTCTCGGTCTCTGCTCCTGGCTCCGGCTCTGGCCCGGGAGCGCCTGACTGGCCAGCCCTTTGCCCGGCTGGCCCTGGCCTCCCGCGGCTGCGCGAGGCGTCCTGGAGCTGCGGCCGGGTCCTGGGCCTCTCGGCCTCTCGATGATGGCGGCCAGCCGGGCGGGGTCAGTGCGGGCAAGGCCAGAGTCTCGAGCCAAACTTGGCCAGCAGCTCCTCCCGGCGGCCTCGCCCACGCAGCCGACGCCAGCACGCCCCCATTAATGGCACTGCTGGGCTGGCTTCCTCGGAGGCGGCCTTCCACCACCTCCATGGTGGCCGCACGCAGGGCTTCCTCCCCTGGGTCTGGGCGCGGCTCGGCCTCGGCCTCGGCCTGGGCCTGGGCCAGCAGCGAGGATGGAGGTGGCGCCAGCCTCCACGCCTCAGCGTGCCTGCCCGGTATCTGCTCAGCAGGTCCTGGCGCTGGTCTCGGACACCTCGCGGTAGAAGAGGAGCCCCAGACGGAGACGCTCTTGGCTCCTGAGGCGCCTCAGCCTGGCGTCACGGCGCCTGCAGGGCACGCGCAGCCCGCCAGCTGGCACGGCGGAGCTCCCGCCTGCCAGCTGCAGCATGTAGAGCCCGTGTCCGGGCCGCCAGCACGCGCGCAGAGCAGCTGCACGTGACGTGAGGTTCTCGTATCGTGTTGGGGTCGAAGAAGCCTCAGGTTGCCGCTGGGGTCATCCAGATGTTCATCTCCTCGCCGTTTAGCCGCGCCGGTAGGCCACGCCCACGGGCACGCCGTGGCTGTGCACGGGTCGGCGGACGCGCCCGTGGCGATCTGGGCTCTCCAGCAGGCGGATGTGCCGCTCCCGACGATGAGGTCCTTCTGCATGGCCTGGAAGAGGGAGATCTGCTGCCCGGTGTAGGGCTCGTGTAGCCGTGACGGGCGCGCTGCCGACAGCAGCTTCTCCTGGATCTCGCGCCCACCACGCCCGCGCCACGGCCTCCTCCAGTTGACAGCCTCAGGTTGTTAGATGGGCCGATGATTTGCCGGTGGCCGCCTGCGCTCCAGCAGCACCAGGCCGTGCCGGCCGCAGCACGCCTTCCATATGGCCTGGTAGATGCCTCCATCTTCTCCTGGCGGCCGGTCATTCCTTGCGGGTACCAGACGCCACGATGCAGCTGGTGCCTCCAGGTAGCGCCTTGACTCCAGTCCATCTCCGTCACCTCCTGAGCCACTTAGTGCCCTGGGCCAGGTCCCCGCAGGGTCTCGGGCCCAGGATCCAGACGTGGTGCAGGCTCGGAGGCGGACACCTGGCGCCTCAGGCCTCTGAAAGACACCTTGCTGAGCCGCCCGGTCTCTCGATGACCCGGGTGAGGACGGCGATGAGGTCGGCAGGCTCCAGGACGCCGGCCGCGTGCTGGGCCAGGAGCTCGCTCTCGGCGGGCCTCGCCTTGTGTACGAGGAGAAGAGGAGATCCCACACAGAGACCGGCCGCCTGAACTGCCTGCGCTGCACCTCCATGGTGGCACTCACGCAGGTGGTCTGCTCTTGGCGGGGCGCGGCAGCGCCTCCTCGGGTCTCGCTCTGGCCTCGCTTTCCCTGGCCCGGGAGCGCCGACTCCGCCGTCCCTTGCCTGGCTGGCCCTGGCTCCCGCGGCCGTGCGAGGCGCCCTGAGCTGCGGCTGTCCTCGGGGCTCTCGCCTCTCGATGATGGCGGCCGCCGCGGGCTGGTGGCGGGCAAGGCCAGAGTCCCTGAGCTAAACTGGCCAGCAGCTCTCCCGGCGGCCTCGGCCACGCAGCCGGACGCCAGCACGCCTATTACACGGCACCGCGCGCCCGGAGGCGGCTCCACCTTGACTTCCATGGTGGCTGCACGCAGGGCCTCCCGGGGTCTGGGCTGGCTCGGCCTCGGGCCTGGGCCTGGGCCAGCAGCGAGGTGAGGTGGTGGCGCCCAGCTCCTCCACGCCTCGTAGCGTGCCCGCCCGGTATCTGCTCAGCAGGTCCTGGCGCTGGTCCTCGACACCTCGCGGCAGAAGAGGAGCTCCCAGACGGAGACGCCCAGCCCCGGGAGGGCGCCCGAGCCTGGCGTCACACGGCGTCCCGCAGGGCACAGCGCAGCTCCGCTCAGCTGGCACGGCGTGAGCCCCCGCCTCACAGCTGCAGTGCATGTAGAGCCCGTGTCCGGTCGCGCACGCAGCGGCGCAGCAGCTGCACGACGCGAGGTTCTCGTGCGTGTTGGGGCTTCGAAGAAGCCCTTGGTGTCGCTGCCGCTTGGGTCCGCCAGGATGCGGTTCATCTCCTCGGCCGGGCGAAATCGCCGGTGGCCACGTCCACGGGCACGCGGTGGCTGTGTGCACGGCCGATGACGCGCCCGTGCGATCTGGGCTCTCCAGCAGGCGGATGCCGTGCTCCCCGACGATGAGGTCTCTGCATGGCCTGGAAGAGGAGATCTGCTGCCCGGTAGGGGCCGGTGTAGCCGGTGACGGCGCCACGGCCGAGCAGCAGCTTCCTGATCTCGCCTACCACGCCCGCGCCACCAGCCTCCTTCTACGGACAGCCTCAGGTTGCGCACGGGCCGATGACGGCCGGTGGCCGCCTGCGCTCCAGCAGCACCAGGCCGTGGCCGGGCCGCAGCACGCCCCCACATGGCCTGGTAGATGTTCATCTTCCTGGCGGCCGGGCTCGGCCCTTGGCGGGCACCAGACGCCCCCGGGCTGCAGCTGGTGCCTCCAGGTAGCTTGATGCGGCCGCCCTCCCTGAGCTGCTGTGTCGTGCTCACCTGTTTCTGCAGGTCCCGGAGCATTTCCGTGATTATGGCTGAGCTGGAGGAGTTCAGAGCGATCTTGGTCTTCTAATTCCTTGGAAACTACAGCTGTTTGCTGCTGTTTTCCTGCTTCTCAATCATCGTCTGAGATCTGGTGTGCTACTCTTCCTCGCAGTGCCTGGCCTCGTGTGTCCATTCTGTACATCTTCACCAGCTGAGCTTCTTCTCCTGTCACGATTCTGAATTCCAGCAGTTCCCACAGTGTCATTTCTACTCCTTGAACCTTCCCACTGTTATTTCCCACTTGCTCTGCCTCCAGGGCCTCTTCGCCTCGGCCGCCTATGCATTCGAGTCCCGTGCATCCTTGTTCACTGGGAAGAGCACCCAGCCAGTGTCTCTGCAGGTGGCACCTCTCCTGCAGCTCTCGACAGTGAGACCTTCTCCTGCGTGTTCGGGTCCACAAACCGTTTCCTCATGTGCTTCTGGTTAGAAATGAGCGCATAGATGTCCTCTTTCAGACAGCCACGCTCTGTAGGCGGTTTCAGTGGAGCCGTGGTGGTGCAGTGGGTCGATGACACCCCCTGCGGCTACCTGCACCCAGCAACCTCAGTGCCCATCAATGAGCTGCTTCTGCATGGCCTGGAACAGTGGGATTGTGTCTCCCGTGGCTGGATCTCGTAGCCCGTGGCAGCCTCTTCGGCCTTCAGAGCCTCTCCCAGCTCACCTACCAGGCTCACATCCACAGCCTCGCCCACGGAGAGCCTGTGGGTGTGGGGTCCAGGAGGAACTCCAATGCCTGTGCCTCCAGCAGTCAAGTTGCAACTACAGGGATGAGCTCCTTCAGTTGGCCTCATGAAGGCCTGCAGACTTCCGGTGGAGGGCACCATCACCCCTGCAATGTAGCCACTGCCTTCCAGGTAAGGCTTTACACACTCCAGCGTGCGGCGTTGTCCCCCAGTCCTCCCCACACGAAGTGTATGCAGGGTCTTCTGATCGAGTGACCCGGAGTTGAACAGCTCTGCAGCTGTCACTCTCCTCTGATGGCCGCCACCTTGATGCCTTGGTTTTGCGGTTCGTTTCTTCAATTGTCTTGGTGATGATTTCCAGTAATTTCTCCAGGCCCCCACTCTGGGTTCCATATCTGGATGAGCCTCGCCTTCCTGTCTCTGTGAAGTATGGGAGAGACAGCAGGTCCCAGAAAGAGACCACCTGGTCAGCAAACCTCCCCACGCGCATTTTTACAGTTCTAGATTGCAACTCGTGTCTCATGGCCTCACTGATATGCAATGTAGGTTTTTCCTTTCTTATGATTTGTAGCAGATACAGGCTAACCAGGATCCTCCATGCAGCGCTCCAGAAGCTGCAGGTACGTGAGGTTCTCGTGTGTGTTGGGGCCAAAGAAGCCCTTGGTGTCGCTGCTTGGTCTACAGGATGCGGTTCAGCCTCATCAAAGTAGCCACACTGGTAGGCCACGCCCACAGGCACACGGTGGCTGTGCACGGGTCAATGATGCCGCCTGGGAGGTCTGGGCTTCCAGCAGGCGGATGCCATGCTCCCCGGACGGCGAGGCCCTCTCTGCATGGCCTGGGAAGAGGGAGATCTGCTGCCCGGTGTAGGGGCCGGTGTAGTCAGACGGGCGCTACTAAATGGCTGCAGCAGCTTCAATGAGGTTTCTTTGCCAAACATCCTGCTTTTCGATGTCCTCCACGTCGCTTCCCGGGTTTCACGGGGTCGGCGATGAAGCCAGTAGCTGCCTGTGCTCTCCAGCAGTACTCAGGGCTGTGTTAGCAGGCCGCAGGATGCTCCGCAGGGCTTCTGGGGATGCTCATCCTCTCCTGGGTGCCCTGGACAAGGACTCCCGGGCAATGAAATTGCCTCCCTCCAGGAACTGCCTCACGCTGTCCATCTCCGCCACCTCCTTCACCGCTACTGCCTCTTGGCTCAGCTCTGGCCCAGCGTCTTCCTGCTGACTTAATGCCCTGAATATGTCCCCGGCTGACACCTGCTTCCCCGGAGCTCCTCTGAAGGTGGCCTGCTGGGGCTGCCTCTCTGCATCCTCGACCAGGGCAGTGACCACGCTGACCACCTGCCGAGCTGCAGCCCTCCCAGACGACAGAGTGCCACCAGCTCCCGCCGCTGTCAGCACACAGACGCATTTCCGGAGAGCAGCAGGTCCCAGAGAGCCACACTACACCCTTAAACCTCCTGTGCTGACGGGCACCTTCATGGCTCCTAAGAGCCACTGCAGTGTGGTCATCCACCTCGCGTGCTGTGTCTGAGGGCAGTGGCAGCAGGCAACAAGCCAGTCTCGGAGTCGCACACGCAGCGCCCCTGAGCTGCTGGTAGGTCACCTGGTCCTGCCAAAGAGACTGGGGTCAAAGAAGAATTTGTGTTCCACAACTGCTGTTACACCTGGTCATCTCTGTGTCCAGAAGGCCGAGTCTGCAGGCTGTTGCCTGGGGCAGGTGCAATTCCCTCGTGACAGGGTCCACCACACTCCCCAGAAGGAATAGCTTGCACTGCAGGAGGGCAAGCCCTCGCTCTGTGCACAGTCCTCTCCATGGCTCACCTGCCACAGAGAGAGGGAGCCCCCTGCAGGGATCTGGGTACCCGGCCACGCCCTCTCGGCCTGCCGGCCCAAGCTGCTCACCAGCTCCCTGCCCACCAGGCCGCATCTGGCACCAGCTGGGCCCTCCACCGACAGTCTCCGGTTGTTCAGGACGACACGCGGCCTGGGATACCCGGGCTTCCAGCAGCCTCTGCCCAGGCCTGTGGGCAGTGAGGCCGTCTCACGGCCTGCACATTGACCGTCCCAGAGGGCTGCAGCAGCACACCAGCCACGCAGCCTGTGCCCCACAGGCAGGCCTTCACCGCCGGCTGCCCAGCAGCGACCTGGGCAGGCGACTGCGTGCCCTGAGCCAGGGCCTCAAGGGTCTCCTGGGGTGATGATGCCAGCATCCAGCAGCCAGACGGCGGATCTCACCCCCGCTGGCCGGGCACCACGACGTGGGCTTGGGCCAGGAGTTTAGTCTCCTGTAGCCATCTCCTGCACAGAGGCTGGGGGCAGCTGCAGGCAGTGGTCCTCCCTCCTGCACGCCCTCCAGCAGGCTCCCGCCTGCTCAGTGAAGCGGGTGGTGGAGCTGAGCAGGTCCCAGGAGGGGGATGTGCCATCCCCAGCCTTCGGCATGGCCTGTAGTTCTTTCCTGACTTGTCTCTCGGTGGGGAGGGCAGGAGCACTTTCTGGCAGGGGCAGGAGGTGACACAGAAGCCTCATCCCCTGGGGTAAGACTGGGCCCAGAGCCGGGCATAGCTGGTGCGCCGTCGTCTGGTGTGGGGAAGGTCTCGGAGGAGTTGGACAAGGCTGTCTCCATCTCCTGTCAATACAGCTACGCTGAATGGCTACTGGCATGGGAGGGTGGTGGTGGCCAGTGGGGCCGTCACGACCCTCCGTGGCTTACCTGAGCTCTCCCAGGATGCGGGCAGCTTGCTCCTAAGAGATGAGACTTTCTTCATGGCTCGAAACAGAGACACCTGCTTCCCAGAGAAGGGGTTCCTGAAGTTGTGATGGCACTTTCAGCCTGGGCTTCCAGCCTGCTACATAGCCTGGGCTTCCACCACTTCGTGAGCCGCCCGTCTCACCGCCGAGAGGTTTCCTCTAGGCTGTGAGGGTCCACGATGGCCCGGTGGCTGCCTGAGCTCTTCCAGCAGGGCCAGGGCCACACTGGGCCCCAGCAGCTTCTGCCTGCGGCGCCTGATATGAGGCTAAGCCGCTGGCCGAGGGCAGCCACGCTACCCACAGCTCCCAGGCTGCACAGGTACTCATGACACCATCCATGAGTAGGAGGCCCGGGCTGACTGTCCTGGCCAGCACTTGGTCCAACAGGTGCTTGTCAATGATATGGGCCTCCAGGAGCTGGTGGATGGTGATCTGCTCACGCAGCAGCTGGCAGCATGACGTCCGCCTGTCTCTGCGTCTCCGCCTCCAGCAGCTGTGCTACCTGCTCCCAGTGTGACCTCACGCCGCCGGCATGCCCACAGCACTCTCTATGCCCTCTGCTTCTTGAAGTACTCAGAGTTGACTAGTTCCCACGCACCTCTGCCTCCCAAACCGCCGTGACTTCACTGGAGAGCAGCAGGTTCTGGAAGGCCTGCTGGTGGCACCATCCACCAGCGGGACTGCACGCCCCGCTGAGTGGCAGGAGGACAGGCCTGTCTCGGGCCCAAGAGACAGCGCCCAGAAGCTGCAGGAATGTGAGAGGTTCTCGGGGTGTGTGTGTTGGGGTTTGAAGAAGCCTTCTTAAAGGCTGCCACAGATGGGTCCAGGATCAAGTTCAACATCTGGATCACCAGCAGTCACATGGGTAGGCCACGCCCAGGACACGCGGTGGCTGTGCACGGGTCGGCGACGCTACTGCGGGCGATTCTGGGCTCTGCGATAAAGATGCTGTACTCCCGGGACGGCGAGGTCCTTCGCATACCTGAAGATCCGCTGCCCGGTGTAGGCTGCAGGCTGTGACGGCGCGCTTCGCCGGTTGAGTGCAGTCAGAAAGGGGTCGGTGTAGCCGGTGACGGCGCGCTCGGCCGACAGCAGCTTCGCGAACACATCGGGCCCAATGACACCAGCCCTCAGTGCCTCCTCAACGGAGTGCCCCTTGTTTGCTTTGGGGTCAATGATGAAGCCCGTGGCAGCTTGTGCCTCCAGAAGGATGAGGGCAGTGCCGGGCCGGAGGAGCCCCTTGCATCGGGCCTCATAGATGCTCAGGCGTTCCTGGGAGCCAGGGAGCAGCAGGCCGGCAATGCAGCCTGTACCCTGCAGGTACCTCTGCACCGAGGCCAGGCTGCCCACATCCTGGGCTGTGGCCTGTCCATGTTCCAGCCGCTCGTACAGGTCCTGGTCGATGATCTCGGCTTTCAGCAGCTCTCCTGGTGTCACGGTGTCCCTCAGCCCAGAAAAGGTGACCCTGGCAGTGGCTGCAGCCTGCTCGAGGGTGGCGCTCAGCTCAGCGGCCATCTTCTCCACGGAGAGGGTCCCTTCCTGGTGCTGCTGGGCCAGCATTGCCCTCTGCTCTGCAGGGATGGCTTCAGAGAAGAGCAGCTCCCAGAGGGACACGGGCCGGCCACGGAACTTCCCCACGGAGACGGTGGTTATGGCTGCGTTCAGGGCCTGCCGAGCACTGTACTTGATGAATGGGGGTCCCTGGGGCTCCCCTCCCTGGGGTCCCCCTGAGAGTGGCAGGAAGGCGAGCCCAGTCTCTGGGTCAGTGACGCAGCGGGCCAGCAGCTGTTCATAGTGCAGGCCATCGTGCGTGCCAGGGTCTGAGAAGCCGCCAGCCTGCGAGAGCTGTCGCTGAGTGTCTTCATCCAGGCAGCCACAGCGCAGGGCGGCCTCCAGGGGCAGCCGGAGCCTGCGTGCTGGACAGACCAGCCCGCCTGTGGCCAACTGGGCATCCAGGAGCCGCAGTGCCAGTGGCCTGTCCACTAGCCCCTTCTTCATGGCCTGGAAGAGGGGGATTTGGGAGCCACTGAAGGGGTCGTGGTACCCCGTCACGGCCTGCTCGGCCACCAGGAGCTGCTCGTGGAGCTCTGGGCTGACCAGGCCCACCCTGACTGCCTCGTCTACCCACAGCCGCTGGCCTGTGGTGGGGTCCACTAGGGTGTGGGTGGCAGCCTGGGCCTCTAGGAGTGGCAGTGCGGTGCCCATTGGGAGCCAGTGCTCGGTAGCAGCCTGGAAGAAGCTCTTCTTTTGGCCTTCGGGCAGCAGGACAACCCCAGCCACGCTGCCGGTACCCTCCAGGTAGCGCCGCACCTCGGCACGTGCACTCACGTCCGCTGTGGCCAGCCTGCCCTCCTGCAGACCCTGCACAGCCTCCTCGTCCAGGATGCCCACCTCCAGCAGCTCGGCTGCACTCACTGCCCCGCCCTCAGAGCGGAAGGTGATCTTGAGGGGCAGCAGGGCTAGTCCCAAGCCGGCGGCCCGCACACACCTTTCCAGCAGCTGGTGGTACGTCAGCCGCTCCAGCGTGTTGGGGTCGAGGAAGCGCAGGACACCTGTGCCAGGCTCAAGCTCTGACAGCTTGTGCCATGTCTCCCGGTCCAGGAGGCCCTGGTGGCAGGCTGGCTCAGGGGCCACAAGCACACCCCGGGCAGGATCCACCAGGCCCCCAGTGGCCAGCTGGGCCTCCAGCCAGCTCTGCCCCAGGGCCCGGTCCACAACCTCCTTCCCGATGGCCTGAAAGAGGGCCAGCTTCTCACCCCCATAGGGGTCAGGGTAGCCCGTAGCGGCACGCTCAGCGGTCAGCAGCTTCTCCTTCAGCTCCAGCCCCACCAGGCCCTGCTGTAGGGCCTTGGACACAGAGAGCAGCTGGCCCTGGGTGGGATCCACCAGACCCCCGGTGGCTGCCTGGGCCTCTAGCAGAGCCAGCCCAAGCCCAGGAGGCAGAAGGCCCTGCTCCATGGCAGTGTAGACACTCTGGGCCTGGCCTGAGGCCTCCACATACACCCCAGCTATGCTCCTGGCCTGGGGCCTGGGGGGCGTGCTGGCTCCCAGCGTGGCTGCCATGGCTTTGGGGACGCTGGCCTGCTCCGTGCTGTTGGTGCCCAGGACGGGAAGAGGAGGCAAGGTGTGGCCACTCATCACACACAGCTGGTTGTGCAGAGCCTGCAGAGGTCCACCTCTGTCCTGCAGGGGACGGAAAGGCTCAATCAGGGACCCCCCATGGCCTGGTGGGCACAGGGGAAGATGTGGTCACAGGGCCAATCCCATGCTGTCCTGGGCTGGGCTCCGCCTGCAGACGCGCAGCCAGTCCCCGAGGAGCTGAGTCTGCCCGGGGAGCACTCCGCGGCGGGAGTGCCAAGGGAAGTGCAAGCTCAGAGGGACCGTGTGAGCACAGGGGCCCAGGTGGAGCCGGGAGGCCTCTAGGGACTCCAGGGCTGTCCCTCCCACAGGCTGTCCTTCAACCTCCACCCCAGGCCAATGCCCTCCCGCCAGCCCAGGGCCCTGTGTCCTCGAGTCCTTCCTGGGCACCCTGGTCCCCTCCCCAACCCTGCCTGAGGGGCCCAGCCCTGCTCCAAGTGGGCTGTGGCTCCACCCACAGGGCCCGCCCCTCGGCCTGGGCACCGGCATCTCTCCACCTCTGGGTGCCTCTCTTTTGTTCTCCAAAGGCTGTGCCTCATGCCCTGCCCCACCCCAGCTCCAGTGACCTCTTGAAACCTCCCACCCCACCTGCACCTTTCACTCCAGAGAAGCCTCTGCTGCCTCCTCCGGCTCCTGAGGCCCCGCCCTCCCGCCACAGTCATCCACCAGGCTCCAGCAAGACCCCAACCATCTGAAGCTCCGGTCTCCTGCCTCAGCCTGGCCCTGCATCCTCCTCTGCCTGTCCTGGATCTCACGTCCGCGAGCACCACGGCCTCTGGGCTACTGCCCCTCTGAGCCCACACCCTGCCCCGGGGACTGCTGGCTCAGCAGACATGTGGCAGTCCTGCCAGGAGCCATGTGCAGGCCAGGCAAGGTTCTCTCTCTCCCCCATGGGCCCTGGTCCTCCGGTTGCAGCCCCAACATGCCCTGTGCTGACCCCTTCCACGCACAGCTGTACGACTGGCTCTGAGCAGGGCAGCAGGTGCTTCACCTCCATCCCCCCAGTCCTGCACGTCAACTGCCTCCACCCACGTCTGTCCCCTTCTGCACCAGGTTGAATTATGTCCCTTAAAAAGGTATGACTAGGCTGGGCGTGGTGGCTCAAGCCTGTAATCCCAGCACTTTGGGAGGCCGAGATGGGTGGATCACGAGGTCAGGAGATCGAGACCATCCTGGCGAACACGGTGAAACCCCGTCTCTACTAAAAAAAAAAATACAAAAACTAGCCGGGCGAGGTGGCGGGCGCCTATAGTCCCAGCTACTAGGGAGGCTGAGGCAGGAGAATGGCGTAAACCCGGGAGGTGGAGCTTGCAGTGAGCTGAGATCCGGCCACTGCACTCCAGCCTGGGCGACAGAGCGAGACTCCATCTCAAAAAAAAAAAAAAAAAAAAGGTATGTCTAAATCCTAATCTACAGTCCCTGTGAATGTGACCTTATTTGGAAATAGGATCCTTGCAGGTGTCACCCGGTTAAGGTGAGGTCATACCGGGCTAGGATTGGCTCTTAGCCAATGTAACTAGTGTCCTTATAAGAAGACAGACACACAGGGAGAGGATAGCCTTGTGATGACAGAGGCAGAAATTGGATCTACAAGCCAAGGAATTCCCAGGACGCCTGGGGCCCCAGAAGCTGGAAGAGACAGGAAGGATCCTCCCCTCAGCTCTGGAGGGAGTGCGGCCCTGCCCACTCCTCGCCTTCCGGCTTCTGGCCTCTAGAGCTGTGAGAGTAATTTCCTGCTCTTTAGGCCCTTGGCCAGTCTTCTGCACCCCTGTGCCCCCCCACCCGAGAGCAGGGTCTGCTCCCCGTTTTCTTAGCACTACGGGCCCCAGTCCCTCTCTTGGTTCTCCCCCTCATTCCGGCTGGAACCTCCCTCTGCTCAGCAGCCTGTCCATGACAACCCTTCCCTACCTCTACACAAGGGTTTCAGGAGAAGGGTTGGACCCCACGTTTGACCCCCACTCCCACTCCACCGCTCTTGAGGCAGCCGCCATCCCCGGCTGCCAAACTCAACAAATGCACTTTGGAGCTGGCCGCCACCCACCTCCACGACACGGGCTATAGGGGCTCCCCTCTCCGGTGACGGTTCCACTCCATCTTCGTTCCCTCATTAACTCTGAGACCTCCTCCCACCTATCCTCAGCTTCCCACATCTGCAGCAGGAGCTCAGCCTGTCCTGGGTCCCAAAACCATGTGCCCAGTTGCCTCCTGGAGGTCTCACAGGTACTCCATGCTGCTCGTGCTCTGTGAACATGCAGAGCCTAACCCTAGAAGGCACTGGGTCCTCCCCATCCCCTCTCCCCACATCTGGTCTCACGAAGGGCATGCTCCAGGGGCAACTCTGAGGGCTGTCGAGGCTTGGAGATGCCCTTCAGGGCCACCTGTTAAGACTGCAGCCCCCCTACCCACCTTGGTAAAACCCTGGTCCTCTCCCTTCCTTCTGTAGATACTGGTCCTGGGCCTCTTCCGGGCATCCTGCCACTGATGGGCTGCTCAGAGCCTCAGACACGGAGCCGGACCCGGAGGGCTCTCCATCACCCCACTGGCCGAGCGCAGAGCCAGGGCTCCAGGAAGCAGCACTGCAGCTCAGCTGTCCTGAGGGGCCATGCTCAGGACGCAGTGTCAGGTGGCTGAGAAGACGTGGAGGATGCAGAGGACCATGGAGTGGGGCCACTGCTCAACGACCAGCATTGGAGAAAGCTCGCAAGAGGCTGCAGACGTCTGGTCAGCTGGCCAGTGCGCCACAGGGATGCCCGGGCACCTGTCTTCATGGTGCAACTAGCCATGGACCCGCTAGTCACATCACAATCTGCCCCAGCCAAAAGCTCCTGGCCTGACAGGATGTTGGACAACTTCCTGAAGGCACAGCCGGAGTGCCAGCTCCCCAATGACGCCTTGCAGGCTAGGGCACCATTCCCCAGGAAGTCGGCTATACCACTCAAAAACATGGCTTCCCATGTGCGTGTTTCCCAGGAGGTGGGCCACAGGGGTCCAGGAACCAAGGCCTGGCAGCCACAGTGGCCCATCCACCATCCCCCACTGATCCATGATGGAGCTTGGACTCCTCGACCCCACAGCTCTGGGGTGGGTAAGCTCAGATGTCCTGGTCCCTGGAGGAGGAACACTTCTGCCAGGGTACACAGCTAGTGTCACCAAGCCAAAGGCTATGCTGCTCCCAGACCACTCCAGCCCATCATGTCCCAGGAGCAAGCAGCCAGGTCGAGGCTCCCATCTGGCAGGGGACAGGTCTGAGCACCAGGAGGCGGTGCCACAGGGGCAGGCAGGGTGCAGGGACCTGGTCTGCCCTGCCTGGTTCTCATAGTAAATAGAACATCATCCCCAGCCCTAGAGGGGACCCTCAGGGAAGAGGACCTGGTCACACCTGACAAGCCCTGAGCCAGCAGGCACACCTGGGTTGAGGGCATCTGGTCTGGAGGACAGGGAGGTGGCCCCAGAGGCCAGGTCCACACTGCAAACTTCTTTCTGCACTTCCCCAGGAAGAGCCAGGCTCAAGGGCACAGCCTGACTGGGGTGGCCACAGGGATTGTCCAGATCTGCTTCTGGGGGGGTACATGAGACGGCAGGACAGGCCAGCTTCTCCTTTGTCCACCCTGCTTCCTCCTCCCTTCCCTTCCTGAGGCCACCCTGAGACCATGCCCGGTGACCCTGCCTCAAACAGACTCTGCTTCCAGGAACCCAGCCTGGGCGCTTTTTGCCCACCTGTACTGGCATTTGCCTCCCCTAGGGCTGGGCCCTCTCCAGCATGCCTCATTCCAGGACCCCCCGGGATCTGTGAGCCAAGGGCAGCCACTCACTATGCCATCTACACCAGATGAGGGGCTTCTGGGGGGTCAGGGCCCTGCCCTGGCCCCTGACATCTGGCCGGGGATGGCAATGGGGAAATGAGCACCTGACTTCCCAGCAAGGGGGAGGGGTAGTGCAGGCCAGGGCAGGGCAGGGCCAGCAGGGGTGGGGACAGCGCCTTGGGCGGGCCCCTGACCTGGGCACAGGCAGCCAGCCCAGACAGGCCATAAGCTCAGGCGAGTGGCTCAAGTTTCCCAAACAAAGAGGAGATTCAGGGAGGAAGGCTGGAGACATGGCGCTTGAGTAGCGAGTTGGGGCCAGGTGTGCACTGCGTGTGTGTGTGCCTGCCAGTGCATGTCCACCCCGCACCATGTGTGAGATGCAGCCTGTGGCTGGCTGCACCACTCACTGTCTCTTTCTGACCTTGGGCCTAGTATGAGCCCCTCCCGGCCCTGCCCCTTCCCTGGGCCCTGTCCCCTCCCTGACTTGACAGGAGGAAGGCCCGCGAGTGGGTGTACTTGACTCCATGTGAGGCCTCGGGAGGGCAGCTGGATGGAGGGTTTGGATCGAGGGAGGGCAGGGGGCGCAGCTTCGAGTGTGGGGACATCTGGAGGAGGTGGCTGCCACCCAGGTGAGCACAGGGTCAGGGTTAGGGTGATGGGGTGGGGAGGAAGCCAAGCAGATTTCCCCGGAGTCTGAGGCACAAAGGGCCCCTCCTGTGGATTCCCCACCTCAGGTGGCCCCCAGGCCCCAAGTGGTGGAGGGCCATTCCTGAGGAAGGTGGCTCTGCATCTCTTGGGCGAGGTCACTGTCACCAGACTGCCCAGCAGGCCCCACTGCAGCCTGGGACAAGGGTCGGGAGGCTGCAGCCGCCTGCCTGAGCTGGGTCAGGACAGACCCTGGCAGCTGCCTGGGCCCACACAGGGAGCAGCAGCCTTAGCTTCTGCCGGATTGTGTGCCCTGGTGGGGAGACCCCGCCCACCTGCACCCTGCACCCTGCACCACGATCAGACATCAGTGGCCCCAATAACAAGCTTGGCACAGTGCAATGGGGGCGGAGGGGCAGGGAAGCAGAGCCCTGGGCCCAAGTGACAGACAAGGCCTTCCTGCCTCTGCCTCCCACGGGTCTCCAGGTGACCCTGTGACTGCTTACCCGACTCGGAGTGGCCACCCCGGGGACCGCTCACCCAACAGCAGTCAACTTCCCCGCGTCAGTGATGCCTCCCTCCCGGCGAGGTTGCCAGGAGTCACCTCTCTCAATTTGTCGGCCTAGTTGCCTCCTGGCCTGGGCGTTCCCATCCTGCAGAGTGTGCCCCGGGCGGTCCTTGCTGCCCAGGAAGCCGCTGGGCCTGCGAGACCCCCGCCCAAGACCCCCGCCCGCGGCCGCCTCTCCTACGAGGGATCGGAGCCGGCGCCTCCTCTCCACGCCCTGAGTCCCGGGCGCCACTTCGGACTCGGAGCTCAAATTGCCCAGGGCGGGAAACCTGCCCGGCCAG